GGTGGTAACGTTCTTCTCGCAATCTAATCATGCCGACATAAGATGACGAGCAGACGACAGCACCTAACACCAAGGTCAAACCGTCGAATCACGGCTACTGCATGTCACACTGGTTTACCAAAGGTGATGAATTGAACAAGCCATCAAATCGAATTGGTTTGCGTCTTGTGGTGTGTCAAGCAAAAAAGACTGACTAGATCGAATGGTGCGCTAGCTAATCTCACAATTCCACAGGATGCTCGCGAGTGTGTATCTCTTGTCAAGGTTCCACGTATGAGCACACTGTTATGAACTCAAGTTGGGGTTCCACTGATGGAACACTTCATAGCAAATCTCTTTGAAGTATAACACTCGGTTCATCGACCGTCTGAAAGGCCAAACAGCTTCGACGACAGACAAGCAGTGAGGAAAAGGCTTAAGCACAACCGGCAGCGGTGAGTGTAAGATACAGCCACCCAGATGTCAATCGTTAACAACAACCACCCGAAGTCTGTATGGAATAGAATAAGGGGGCAAAAACAAAACACAAGTCCAGAACCGCAGGAAAATAGGTTACCCAGAGATAGCCTGTGATTCTCGATTTCCGTAAGAAACTAACAGTTGGGTGCATCATCAGTTGCATTCTCAAGGCAGGTTTGGGGATTGAGGTTCAAAACAGCGGAGTTTGCTTGTTTTCCGTGCACCCACTTGCCAATCCAACCACTCGTCTCGATTCGAGTCACGACAGGTATCCAGATAGTAATAGGTCCGCCGTACGAGCTAATCATGCCCTCTACAATATCCGGTAACGTAATTACGAGCAACCGGATACGCACAAGGCATGACAGTGACGCATATGAACAAAACATGATGCAAAGATACCTCAAATGTGTGCAAAAAGAACGTATATCCACATGAACGAATCAGTACACGATACTGTATTCAGTCGAAAGGACGCAGTACAAAGTCTACTAAAGTCCTTCCATCCCCAAACATACGAACACTTGCATATCGTGTTCCATAACGTCTGAAAGAAGACAGTGCACCTACTATTGGCACTAGCCCAAAGGAATCGGGTCCTTAATATGGTGCTTTTGGCGACTGTAGTCCGCTGAGCTATCCAGTAAGTTTCATTCTGACACCCACATAGTTCATACCGGGTTGACCAGTAGGTCTGATGAACAAAGTCTTGGTTAGAAGTTGGTACACGCACGGCGACTTTTCCTTGCAATATTGTAGCAGTATACGGACATTCAACCGCTGTCCTTTGGTTAACCGATTGCATTAAATGGCTTGGTTGAGAACACCACTCGCCCATTTCTCTAGGGGTTTGTTGGGCTGGCAGCATTTCGCGCAAAACCATGGAATTCCCTACCGAAAAGATTCTCATGTCACATCGAATATGGCGTGGTACCAACAGTCGCCTTAGTGACTGCACGCATCAAAGCGGAATCGCCTTACTATTGATACCATCCTTGTTGCACTATCAATGAGATATTTCTCTTCCCTATCGCATCATATTTTGAGCACTCCTTCAGGTTCTACCACTAGGACTGACAGCCTGATTCGTTTTGCAGTAACCCTAGCCGAAAATTCTGCGCATTCCTCTTCAGTAACAGTCATGAAATTAATTCTCAAACCTTCAAAAACGGTCTAATTGGCTAGCATTTACGTTCAAACTCTAAAGCAAGCAAGATAATGGGCCATCCTTGGCTGCGCACTGAACTCCGTCCGCATTCAGCTGGGATTCCCTTGAGCCTCCACTAAAACCCAATTTGTGTGAAATCGAGTGTATTCCCCTATTAAGCCATACTGTCATCGGTTACCGGTCGAAAACAGACCATTGCTTACCATTTATGGGATACCTGTGTGGGACCTAATAATGCATTTGTCCGTTGGTGCTTTTCACTGCGCTTTCAGGTTTGTGACGAACTGGCACACCACGTTGGCCACTGAGGAGTTCACGGAGAACAGAATCATACAACTGTACCTGAAGCGACTCCTCTTACACCTGCCCAGTTGTTCGGCACCGGATGTTAAGCATCGCTGCGGGGAGATACTGAAAGCTATACGTGATGCGATAAAACCCAGTCGACCTCTTCAAATCAGGTGATAGCTGATAGAATCGCGGCTTTGTTCGGGGCATGGCGATATATTCGCTCAGGTCGCATCTACACTCTACATCGCCGCGTCATCAGACACCACGTAAAGCTGGGTGTCTTAGAAGTCCGGGAGACTTGGTGCGCAAGACGATCCACTTCGTCCTTCAGACGCCTCTAGTCAAGGACATCGGTGCATCATGATATCTAGAAAAGAACGTTTAAGCATTTGGGCACGGTTTGAAATGCGCCACTTCGAACCTGGATTGCTGGCCTGGGCTACGATTGAGCGAATATTCCTACTCTAGCTTCACGGTGTTCCTGGTCCCGATCTGTTTAAGGATAGCGGCGAATTCTTCAGCGACTGCCTTTCTACCCCATTACCCTTCATTTCATTTTTATCCAACTTCCTCCTACTGGATGATGTAGGGACAACTGTGTAGCCACAATCCCATAGGTATCGTCAGTATCCAACCAAAGTTGAGTTGTATGGTACGTAAACTCCTGAACGAAGATCATATCGTCCTGGATTTACAACTGACCCGTGATAAGCCAGCGCTAGGCGCACCTGATTATGTACCTATAGAGTGTGCGGTTGAGAGACGCACTACGTTGGATCAACGGGCGTCGTCCGAACACCGATCCCGCTGGCGTTTTATCAATAACAGGGAGGAGTTAAAGATGGCTAAGCGATTAGGGTGGGAAACTACTACCTGGAAGTCCGTGGCTTGAACCAAATCTTGGCATCTTAATTGCTCTGATCTGGTCTTCAAAGATTTGATATTAGCTCAACCCCTGAAATTTCTTCGAGTTGCACGCCAGCTACGCACCGAAACGGTGTTACGCCCAGATAACTTTTTAGCTAGTTCTTCATAACGACGTAGTTCCAGTTTTCCCCTAGACAGCGTTGAACCGTGCATCACAGCGTCTCGATTTTTTCTCATGGTCATGTGGTGAAGAACCAAATGTCGCTTACAGAGGGTACGCAGCCCTTCAAGCCTGCAACATAAAGCGCGATAGACTCCTGTCACGTTGCTAAAAAGCTAGAACATTACGTCAGCGAAGACCATACCAAGAGTTGTCAAACGCCTTGAATCGTCCGTGAGAGACATTTATGCTACCACTTTATCGGCCGTCAGAAGCACGAATCTCCCAATGGTTAGTAGTTTGTTCAATGCGAACAAGGCACCTCAAATTCGGACATTGTCATCTTCACGATAGCAACCAGTGTGTACCAATTCATCATTATCATCGACAGTATGACATCATTCTTAAACAATGATACTTCGCTGCCGTGAACCAATTAGGAATATTAGAATAAGTTGTAAGTTGTTGTAGTTGGGATCACTAGAATTCACATCCAAACCGCTCTCATCTGAACACTCTTCCTTCAGTCCCGGCGAAATTATTTTTGTGAGGCTGCGGGGAGCACTGAAATCGAGTTTCACTTTTATCAGAGAGCATCAGCAGTCCACATCCTTGGCCGTGCCGGGATTTGAAGTCAGGACGTCTGACATGTGATACGGGCGTGAAACCACTGCTCCAACAGTGCATGAATCACGTCTGAACAGGAGAGCGTGTTCACGGTTGAGCGATGTAAATGGTGTGCGCGACAACTCGACCGACTCATTAAGAGTCATGGTCGTGTCAATCGATTGACTCACTCACCAGATAGAGGCACGTAGGCTTGACACCGGCTGGAAATTTTTTGGTTAGTTTTAGATGGTTCCAAGATTTGTAGAATTAACGCTCACATCACTCTCGTTCGAACAGTCCTCCTCCTGTCCAGGCGCAAGTATTCTCATGAGTCCAATGTGGACTCACAAGAATGATGCCATCGGGACGTGTGGAGTACTGTTCAAGAGAGAGTGATACCAGTATGAATACTACGATACATTGTCTCATGAGTATACACATCACTGTTCGCTGGTGACATGCTGTCAACACAGGGAGATATGTACCGAATTACTACGGTCTGTCGACCAAGTAAAAGCTTGTATCAGTACTCAAAATATACACCTGTAAGTCGTTCAGTGTAATGTGAGTGTGAACCCTAGTAAGTTCAGTGGGTCGTAAGGGTAGCTTCCAAGTGACCAAATATTGCATAGGGAAATGTGATTGTAACTGGGACCGCAGTACAGATACACGCGGAGTAGGGTAAATAGGGACAGTTTTCAGGGAGGATGCAACTTCATTTTTGTTAACCCCTGAAGAACACTGATCTATGGACGACCACGAAAGCTGAATCCCACAGTGATACCGAGCGAGTGTTGGTGTTTAGTTTCAAGTTGCTGAACAGGAATAAATGCATACTAGATTTGGCTCGAACTAGGTCGCAGACACGGACGAGATGGCTGAAGTGGTTAAAACACGAATTTACTGGCAGAAGGTCCGAACTAGGTCGCAGACACGGACGAGATGGCTGAAGTGGTTAAAACACGAATTTACTGGCCAGAAGGTCCGTGGTTCGAACCCGACCTCTGCCTCTCGGCTTCACCTGTCTAGGCTTGGGCAAGCCGGCAGTATCCCAGCCTTCGTGCAACCTTTGGGTGGCATGGCAGCTGGGCACCGGAAGAGTGCTACAGCTGAACGAGGTCGCAGATTAGCCTACAGAATGAACGCATTTTATGGACAGTTGCCACAGAAGACCTTCATCGACTGATTTATCAGCCATGTTAAAGTACTCAGAGAGAGGAACTGACAAACTGGCCCCAAAGTGAAACTGTTTAGGGCCTCACCATAACCTGGAATCGCTTTTCTGACAAACCTTATCGTTCCCCATATTTAATCGTCCATGATTCCCCGTGTTCATTTTTGAAATGGTCGACCACAATCAATGCCTCCAGATAACGTATCCTCAACAAAGTGAAACGAAAAAATCGTCTGCTTTCTGATTAGTCAACTACTGTAATTATTATGCCACGTGATTTCACTGTATTGAAAAGCAGCGGACGTTATGCGAAGATAAGACATAACAAACAAACACAAGCCTACGGCGACAAAATACAACCGTAGGCATGTATGTATCGATAATTAGCTGTATCACAAACCGTTGGAAACATGGGGGTTAAAAGAACGTGTTGACACCTGGATGTAAGAGAAACGCGGTAGGCCAGTGCCAGATGGATATCATTATGTGGAACAGAAAAAAACAGGTTACTAAACTGAGCTGCTAGAAAGCGTTGTTGAAAATGCATGGGATCGAAATCACAGACGGGTGGAAGATGGCCTATACAAATCAAGTCCATGGTAAGAATTTTGAATGCAATACAGTTCCCAACAGGGTGTAGCCAAGAAAGTAGGCAAGTATCACACACTGACTGATTGTGCGACAATTCAGCGGATTGAGCATACGCCAAATTTCGCTCGTTTTGCAATACCATGTTGACTTCGGGGTTTTCACAGCAGATTTCTTAGATTTTGTTCCAGACTTGGCGCCCGGTTCCAGCTGCCATTGTGGGCTGTCGTAGACCAAGTATGCGCAATACCAATAGATCATTGGACAGGAGGAGAAGATGAGGCGCGTCAGGACCTGTAATGACAAAGTGTGATCATACGTGTGCTCGTCTACATAACCATTGATATACAAAAATAGGTTAACACAGGGAAACTCGAACGTCGCAACTCACAACGAATAAAATAAGTACGGCCACCTAGTTTTCTTAAAGAAACAGATTTCTGTGGATTCACAGCTTACAGCATTGGGTAATGAGTTGGGTGATTACCATGTCAACCTGAAGTAAAATGAGTGATTAAGGCGCGATGCTACTGACAAGAAGTTCCGCCGTCCAAACCCAACTCCGGCATTTCGACCGTTCCTGTTTATGCTTGGGCGATCTGGCAGTTACTCAGGCCTCGTAATCCCATTGGGTTGTAAGCTGGCTATGCATCAGAGTGATGCCACGGCTGAATGCTTTATTAGTATTTAGTTATAATCGATTCTCTCTTCCACGGCATCAAAAAAGGCAAATCACTCGGCAATCAAATGAGGTTCAAATGGATTAAGGTTGAGGGTGAGCTGATTCGCTCCGATTTACTTCTCATGAAAGGTCTACCGGATTCGTGGACAACCCAGTTAAAACGTAATCAGAGTGGTGCTAGTGTTGGACGCTCGTTTGTACGGGCTGTCTGCACTCGTGATTGTAGGTGAGAGATGATACACGTGAACACAGTCGCCACTCGAAAATTGTCCCGATGGCTACGTGGATCGGGTTTGGCGGAAACTGACTGGAGTAGTGCACTCTGGCGGGTCTCCTATCAGGAAGGCCGGATTCATGAAAGCAAACACTGGATGCCCGAAATCTACCGAGACTCTCAGTCGTTGACCAGACAGACAACGCACCCTCAATATGCAGCGCGTCACAGCCTTGTATCAAACCCAGACAGCGCGAGTCAGCGTTGATTAAGGTCAGACAACGCCCCCGCGATATGCAGCACGTCGCAGCCAGACCGCGTGCGTCAACGTTGGACCAATAAAAAGCTTGAGGTCGTTGTAGCACGCACTCGCGTTCTCGCAACCGCTTTGTTGGAATATAGCTACTGTGTTCCCTTCTGTGAGTCTTTTCTCTCCGACACTAGGCCCTGGAGCGGGTCAGCAGCAGATACCACAGGCCGGCGAATCAGAATATATAACGGTAAGAATGAGCAAAGGCAAACTGAATCTGTCAGCAACCATGTAGGGATCAATGACGGTCTGAATGACCATTCGTAAAACTGGTAATAACGAGACCCAAGGAAGGGTCAGAACAATATGCAGTAACTATTCTATCTAAAATTGCTCACACAGAGTGACAAGTGGAATTAAACGTGGTCCAGTTCAAGCAATATCAAACCACCTACTGCATCCAGGATTACCGTGTGCGACAGAAAAAATATCATTAACGGTACATCTAAGTAATGAATTTCCCCGCTTCATATTACGCCTTTGTTAGTGGGGATGTCCGTTGTGCGCATCGGATGATGGGTCAGACAAAACATGGAAGATAAATCTTCCCTCCACAGGGGCCGATACAAAGATGCCACCCATCAGAAGTGACCAATTCTGGTTGGCCGATCAAATTTTAGGACCTTCAGATACCATCCCTCAGTTTGGATCACGGGTCGGATCCTGAAGCGAATTCTGGCCAAAATCTATATCAGAGGCCAATTACTCACTTGTCTGACCTGAAAACAAGGCAGGATAACATAACTATTGGTGAATGTCCAAATAACTAGTCGCCATTCTTCACGATTTATCTGACAAACACCGAGCAGCTGGCTCCACTGTTCTCGAACTTCACATTCCGAAGTTCATTCAGTGGTCATGTTTTCCTGTCTCGGTGGTACTTGACTTACAAAGGACCAAACACAAGTGTTCTCATCTGGGGGCTGGTCTCTAGAGGATAGAATCACAATAGTTGCGAGCCACACGTATAAAAGCATATTACGGTACCTCCCATTACCTATGAAGACAATTTTATCGTTTGTCAGATACCCAATTAGTGTCAGAATATATAAAGAAAAACCAGTGCACAGATTTCGCATTTCAGTTATCGTTTGGGGGGGGGGACATTTAGAGTGATTTCTGCTGTGAGTTACGGTAATCTCCTGAAAGGAGACCTACAGAGACGTGGTCTTTTTGAATCCGAAACTTTTGGGACACCTTTTGAGAACGGTATAAATACATATCGTCCTAGTTTATTTCGAAATCTCAGAGACGGGCACTCATTCGCTACCAATCGGGTTGAATTTGTTTGGTTTGATTATCGACGAAGAAAATACTTTAAGAGCTGAGGTTTCTAATAACTCCACATATCGATCCTGATCTTTGTCAGTAGCAAAATAATCCTAACGAGGCCTAATTACAGTTATCGAAATGTTGAGTTTTTGAAAAAATCTGCTCTTAAAGCAATTGACATAAGCCATTTTCTGCATAGAATGGATACACTGCCGCATGTTGTGAATGCTTGTTCAACGCATTATTGAGATAAGGCATATGAGGGAGTAACCTTGAGAAAAAAACAAATAATCGAACCTGTTCAGAACACAGAAGTTGAGACTTTAAGATCGCCAAAACTATAGCTGAGGGAGACGTACGCACATCATCATCATTATCAACTGTAAGAACCGCGTACTCGTCGTACAGTGGTTGTAGCTGCCGCAGTTTCGTTCA